AGAGAGAGAGAGAGAGAGAGAGAGAGAGAGAGAGAGAGAGAGACAGAGAGACAGAGAGACAGAGAGACAGAGAGACAGAGAGAGAGAAATGTCTGCATAGGAAAAGAATATTATCACAGAGGTATATTGATAATCTTAGGATACATCTGGCTGACAGTTCTTATTTAGTGATATAACCTTACAAGGAATGTGTAGTATCAGACTGATTTTTTTAAAGAGTATATTGGTATAAATGTGTGTATCATACATCCTACACATATACGTGTAAAATTAGTAAGGGACCAAAATGTTCAAGTGGACTGGACAAATGAATGAATGAGTAAGTCAGTGACTCAGCGAGTCAATGATTGAATGATTGATCAGGTGCAGGAAATCTTATTTTGAGAATGGAATGTGCATTCTGCACTTGTATAGCTACAAATTCAGTGATCAGTAGAAGTTATGACAGTGCAAAGTGAAGGAAAGTTCCAGCCCTTGCAGCACTCCTGCGGTCACATGAACAAAATTTAGGTGCCTAGCAACCAGCTCACACATGCAGCCAGTAGCTGTACCCCACAATCACACAATCACCAATTGCAACTTCCCTACCCACAAGCAAAGTCAATGGAAAATTGGCACGGAAAGTCACAATTGCAGGAATGTGTCTCCATCCCCACAGCCCCACAGCCTTTGTTCATTCACTCGAACTGCACCCTCTTCCCCTCCACTTTACTCACTCCTCCCCACATCCTCTTTTTATGGCCTCCCTTCAATCAGATACACGGACACACTCTGTGCTCTCTTCCCTGGTCTCCCTCATATCACACACACCCTGCACCCTCTTTTCTACAGTTTCTGCAATTGCACACATACACACAGGTCTTTATATGGTTACATGTACCCCATGCCCTCATTCACTAGCTTTTCTGAGTTCACACTACCCTGAGCACCCCCTCTCCCAATGGACATAGAGCCTGCACTAGGCTTCAAAGGAACTCCCTTCACCCTTTGTGTGGCATCGCCCCCTCTTCTTACTTGAAACTTTCTCTATTTCCTGCTTAATTGTTGTGGTCCGCCAGCTGGCAGCAGAATTAGATAGTGAGGAAGTTGGGGAGGAACATGGGGTAATCGTGGAATCTGGGGAAGGCTCGGATGAGGGCTCTGCATCGGAGGCAGACAGGGGGTTAGGGCCATCTGGTAGTTAAGTGCTGTCTCCGGAGCCTCTAGAGTCTCACATCAGTGAGGCAGAAGAACAGTGTGAGCCTGTTCCCACTGTGCACATGCACAGAGCTTCCAGAAGGCAATAATAATTAAGACAAAAAGGTCGACTCAGGAGTAAGGCTTGGAGATGATTGGCCCCTCCCATAAGACATAAAAGAGGAGCAAATGGATGTGAGCCTTTGCAGGAAGCAATTTTGTTCATTCTGGTCGGTTCAAGCTCTGTGTCCGTTTGACTCTGGCGATGAGTTCAGGGGAGAGTAAATCCCAGATGCTCCCAGGTTCTTTAAAATTGTCTTAGCAAGATACCTTAAACCAAAATTGGTTGTAAATTGTTCCGTAAATGTGGAATTTGGTGCTCAGTTGAGGAGAGGAGTGAAATTAATCCAGTCTGGCAAGAATAATATCAGGAGCAAAGACCAGAAACAACATGACGAAGCGCAGGAGTATGTTTATTGTTGCTCCCTTGTGGTAGTTGTCATTTAACAATGATATTGTCAATAATTATAAATTTGAAAAAAAAATCAGCTATATAGAATGACAAGTGAATGAAATAAGTTTCCCAAGCCTTTATGGAAAGTATTGTTGTTGCTTTTAGCCATTTATTGCGAGATGAAATTTGATTAGATGTAATAAAAATTGTCTAAGAAGAAAGATAAGGATTCTTATCTTCCTATGAATCAGCCATCTGAAATTCAAGTGCTGGTGCTACTATGCCTCTAGATAGTTCGTTTTCCACTAACAATTTTCTGCTGCAAAAAAATGCAGCTGCAGGAAACTACTTAATGCATTCATTCTTCATTCAGCTGATCTTCTGATTCAGCAAGAATCCCATTCATCTTTCTTCAGACAGCACATAATTAACACATGGAATCCATTGCTATAGGAGGTAGCCATTGGATGGCTTTAAAAGAGGATTGGATAAGGAGGACAAGTTTATTATGTCTTGATGGAATGTCATCTCCATGGTAGGAACAGTGTGACTCACAAACACCAATTGCAACAAGTGGAGGAGACTGTGCCTACATCTCCCACTGGCTAGTACCTCGGAGGTATCTGGTTAGTCACTATTAGAAACAAAATGGTAGATTAACATGGAACTTGAGTTAATCCACTAAGGCTATTACGTCTCTTCCACGTGTCTTCTTTCAAAAATGTGCTTAGTAAACACCCCCCCTCCCCATTACAGTGCTGTTTCTCATGGATCAACATGACAATCAAAAATATTTTTGATGTATAAAGAAAATAAAGATCATCACATTTTTTATTAGAAAAATAAACCTCAATCCATGGCTGGAAAAAATGTCATGATTGAGTTGAACTTTCATAAACTAGAAAGTAATAAAAGCAAAATAAATATATTTCTGGCACAGAGTGTTAGGAAAAATAATTTCCATTCACAATCCCAAGCACTCTGAATTTTAAAGCTATTATGCTTTCATTTTTCTTTCAATAACCATAATTTAAAAATATTAGTAATGCATTATATATGGTTCTTCATATTATTCTGTGACACTTTGCAGTAATTATTTGTATTTTTTTTCCTTTTAGTACAAACAAGTCGAACAGTACATGTCCTTTCACAAGCTACCTGCAGATATGCGTCAAAAAATCCATGATTATTATGAGCACCGTTACCAAGGCAAGATCTTTGATGAAGACAGCATTCTGAATGAACTCAATGACCCACTTCGGGAGGTAAGGAAATGGTGCTGATAGGAAAGAACATTCTTTCTCAATTTGAACTGTAAGAGAATTCATAAAGTTCATCTTTTCTTAAGGTTTTTGTTTTATTTTTGTTTTGCAACTTTGAGCAGGTTTCTTGACAAGATTTTTAGAAGTAGATTACCACTGCCTTCTTTCTAATGCCACCCACTTGGCTGTGTGCTTAAGGCAGAACTAGAATTCAAGGATCCTCCTAGGTTTACAGCCTGGTGCCACTATTATATCAAACTACTTATAAACTTGGATGTAGATATATAAGACATGCGCAATGTCTTATATTGGATTCCTGCAATGTGATGGTTGAGCTAGAACTATGAATTCTTATTTCCAGATAAAATTGGACCTTTTATTTAAACAGATTCTAAAGTAACTAGGGATGATAACTCCATGATACGTGTGTGTGCGCTTGTGCACACGCATGCACATTTGTCTTCAAGTCAGCTTTTGACTCCCAATGACTTCTTGTACAAATTACTAAAGTTTCTGGACAAGATTTGCCACTGTCTTTTTACTAGGAGCGAGAAAGAGTGACTGGCCCAAGGCCACATAACAGAATCATAATTGCTTGGTTTCTAGTTTGATGACTTAATTACAATACCATAGTGCCTCACTTATATGCCTTAATTTTATTTTATTTTAAGCAGCTCCATAACATAAGTGTTTAAATTACAGCTCTCTGAGTACCATTCAAATTGCGCTCCAGTGTTATTTGCTGGAGATCGGTAAAGAAGACCATCATTGGAATGGTTCTGGTATTGTTGTCAGTTCCTTCATAAGCAAAAGCCAGCAGGACAGAATAAACCATTTACGGGAGCTACTTTTTTGGCCCTGATAATTTTAGCGTAGGTTAATCATCCACATCAATTCCGGAGTGAGCATATTTCTATCAGCCACCACCATCAATGGAGAAATAGTTCTTTTAAAATATGTGCTAGTCACTCCCGAATCTAGGGAACAGTGTTCATCTCTGTTTCAAAGCCAAAGAGCCAGGGCTCTCCAAAGACGTCTCAGTAGTCAGGCAGCTGGCATGACTAAACGCCAAAGGCACAGGAACGCTGTTACCTTCCCACCAAAGGTGGTTCCTATTTTTTCTACTTGCATTTTTACATGCTTTCAAACTGCTAGGTTGGCAGAAGCTGAGGCAAGTAACGGGAGCTCACTCTGTTACATGACACTAAGGATTCAAACTGTCGAACTGCCTACCTTTCTGATCGACAAGTTCAGCATCTTAGCCACTGAGCCACCACGTTGCAGGTATTAAATCCAGCAACATCACCTACTTAGCCTAGCTGTGAATTTGCAAGTGTGAGATGAGTTTGGTGCTTCTTCTGTAGGAAGATTGCTATGGTCAATAAAATTATATGTTAAGCCACTGAATTGGAAAATCATTAGTGTAGCTCTAGTGTCCAAGAAGAAAATCTATAGTAATCCAGGCAATTTCAACCTTGTCATCTTATTTCTAGGTGACATGGTAGAAAGCACCTTAAAGGCTCGGCTTCATAATATAGAATGGGAAGCGTGCTTCTCATAAAAAGAGGTTCTGCCTTTGTATTTAGACTCACAGTCACCTAAGCAGTAGCCTGTGAAATCATTAAGTACAGAGTATAAAGTGAAACTAGGCCACCTTAACTCATCTAAGAACTGATGGACTGTGCAACTTGGACAAGTTCAGTTTTTCTCACTTGACTTGAATGCTAAGGAAATTACGTTTTTGTTTGCAAGAATAATTTTCTATTAGCATTATTGAAATGCCGTGCTCATTAATTTTAAAGTTCTAATAAAAGTATGACAAATGTTACAACTTCCACAATTTTTAACCTTTTCAAACTCTGTTTTCTATTCATCAGATAATGAATTTTATTTCCCTTGCAGATCAGGGCGGGCAATTCAATTAATTAGAGTTGCACTTAGAAAAATGCCACTGAGCTAACAGTCACTGAAGAAAACATTAAAAAACAAACAAACATGAAAATGATGAAATGCTTTGCACAAAAAGGGGGCAGCTGGAAATATTAGCAAAAGAGTGGATATTATCATGCACCATTAATTATAGTTGGTCCCTGCAACTCTTTTGTTAATAGTGTTTTCAAGTGATCTAAATGTGTGTACTCAGTAAATTCATTCAGTTGGGCTTCATCAGATATTTCATTCAGTGGAGATGTCATTGCTATTTATGACTTTTGTAGAATTAAAAAGTATTGGGAGAAAAGAAAAAGGAAACTAACCATTGGAAATATCTTTGACGGAGCCAGTACTGATAGTTGAATTTGCTTGCTTAAAACTCTAGGAAGCATCTTAGATTTTCTGGGAGTTGCGTAGTATAGGAATCCCCCAACCCTGACCTATGGCCTAATATTGGGCCATGGCCTTTTTGCAACCAGGTTGCATGAGTCGCGGGCTGGTGTACACACATATGTGCACAGCTCAAGTTGCGTGAGAAGAGGTGGGCTGGCATGCATGTACATCAGAGGTGTGTTCCTACCAGTTTGGTTCAGCTGAGTAGGTAGTAACTTGGCTGGCCACGCCCACGAACCCACCCCTGATGCACATGCACAAGCAGCACAACTTGCACAAGTCTGTGTGCACATGCATGTTACAGACTAGCCCGCCACTCATGTGGCCAGTTCCCCTCTTCCCTCCCCTCTGCCAGGCTGCCAAGATGCAAAGGAGGAGGTATATAAGAGGAGGAGGAGGAGGAGGAGGAGGAGGAGGAAGTGGTCTTTGAGCAGAATCCTCAACCACACAAAATAATACCATAACAAAGAATTTTTTAATATGGTAAAGTATCAGAAGTTATTAAACACACAAGACATTATTGTATTCATTATTTCCATCATAAACATGAAACATTAGATATCTTAGCGATCTCAGAACCATAACAAACCAACTCAATCAAGCAGAGCTTTTGTTCTGCCATCACTACTCCTATTAGCTAAGCCACTGCTGGAAAAAGAGAGTTCTGCAGGGATGGACAGCTTTTAAATCAATCTGCATGATTTCTCAAATGTTCCTCAGCTACCATTTTTTATTCCACATTTATTTATTTCATCAATTTGTTATAATGTATTGAATATATTGCAAATGCATTTCTTGCAGGTTTTCAGAAAGATGCAAACATAAGCATAAAAAATATGCGTTGAGTATAATTCTATTTCCCCCGTACTTTTTAGAATTAGTGCTTGCAAACACATTCATTGCAGTAACCTTCTTAGTAAAATCATCATAATTTCATTCATCATAATAATGACCAGCCTTCCTTTTAATAATACACACATCCATTGTAAAGTAGGGAGCAACACGAATCAATCTGTAATAAGATTACAAATCCTGGCTGTAAGCATTTGGGTGAAGACTGAATGGCAGCTGGGACCTAGAGGTCTCTGCGTCTTTGTTGCCATCTGTATTTTTGAAGCTGAAATTCAGTAGTTTGCATCATGTGAAGTTGTTTAAACATGGTTAACTGGCCGTGTTCATGCAGCCACTTAGCTGTCAACCCTGGTTTATAAACTGCAGTGGCTGAGTGACCAACCACATGAAGCCACACCATCCCCCAATCTCCAGAATTGTATCTTAGTGTCATTATACATATCGGTATATATATATTTCTAATTATCTAAGCAAGTAACTAATTATCTAAGCAATTCTAATTATAAGCAAGTTACACAAAAATGCCATTCAGTTCAGGGATAAAATCAACTTACCTTTGCTACCAGTTTGAAATGCACAGAGCATCTAAAATGGGACATCATGACCTCCAAGCAGGTGGGCGGAGTCTCCCACCGCCACTGCTTCCGGTTCGCCCAAACCAGATAGGACCTGCTGAATTGCACCACTGATTCAGTTAGGACTTAAAATGCAGATAAGGGAATAAAAACAAAAGTGGAGCCTGTGCTGATGTGCGGTATAGTGTAGCTTTAATGTACCATTTCTGAGCCCATTTTACTGAACCTCTCCGCAGATTTGTGATTATAATTTATACAAGAGAAAGTGATACAAGGTTGAAGAATATGAGATATTTGGTCTCCTTGTCTGGGTATTTTATGTCACTGGGAGTTCCTTTTAGAGGAAAGCTAAGTCAACAGATGCTAGTAGTATATGGAGCTACTGTTCTGGATAGACACCAGTGTAGTATTTCCTAAGATGAAAAAAAATTGACAGATTGCATTGCATTGCTGCTTATAAAGAAGTGGGTGAAAAGGCAGGTTTTCTTCTAAACCCAATGAAGTTAACAATGCCCACAGTTTCTACTAGCTAGCATTCTACGTCTTCAAGCAAAAACAGATTTGTCACTGTAGTAAAGCAAAAATATTTGCTACACTAATTATTCAGAACAACTGAATCGTTGTTCAGTATACACTTTTCCAGGCAAATTAAAAAGGGAAATCCCAGCATTCCTTTCTGACATGACCAAGAAAGGTAAAGACTTCCCTTGTCCAGTCATCTCTGACTGTAGGTGCTCATCTGTTTCTTAGCTGAGGGGGGCCAGCATTGTCAGATCTCTATGGTCATATGGACAGCATGACTATACACTGAGGCACATGGAACACTGTTACCTTCCCGAAAAGGTACCTATTTACCTACTCGCATTTGCATGCTTTTGAACTGCTAGGTGGGCAGAGAGGAGCAAGTAGTGGAAACTCACCCCATTGCACAGTACTCAGGTCTTGAACACGGCCTGTCAAATTTCTAGCTGACAAGCTCAGCAACTTTAACCACTGAGCCATCGCAATGCAAATCTTAAATTTCACGTTAGCAAAAATTGTCTTGTAAGAAACATTGATCTTTTCATTATTCACCATTGTATACCCTCCCCTACCTCTCCTATGTCTAAAGAATCATGTGTGGAGCAGAAATATATTGATCTTGAGTTCCGGAGCTATTGCAAAAGAGTTCTTTGACAGGACCTGCTTTAGAAAGGGCAAGGACTCCACAGCTTGAGTTTCAGGCACCCTGTGACGATTGTCCAGTTAATCACTTGTTTTCAGCTGTCTTGGTGTTAGATTGGCTATTATTACATTTAAAAAGGGCAAAGGAACAATATTGTTGATTTTGAAAAACAAGAAGATGTCTTAGATATTGTTCAAGATTGAAGAAAGAATAAAAATAAATGCTGTTTTGCCTTGTGAAATCTCTGAAAATATCTAAGTGCAAATCTTTACTCAGTTTTGCTTCATGCTGCAGTGAAGTGTGAAATGACAACTGAATAAAACATGTAATCTAATATTCATCTGATATAAAAACAGGTAAAAATTACAACATGAACACAGCTATTTATTAATCAGGTGGTAGATGGTATTCATTAAAACAGCTCTAAAATAAAAAAAATGCAATAACACCAAAGACATACAACTTATGTAAAATTAAATCAATATTGGAAGGACAAGAAAGGATTGAAGTAGTAATTAAGCACAGTTTAATTAAGAGAGCCAGTTGGTTAGGCACCAGGCTAGAAATCAGGAGACTGTTAAGTTCTAGTACCATCTTAAGCATGGATGACCTTGGGCCAGTCACACACATTCCGCCCAACTCACCGCATAGGATTGTTGTTGTAGAGAAATAGGAGGAGGAAGGATTATTAGGTATGATCACTGCCTTGAGTTATTTATAAAAATAATAAAGATGAGATTAAAAAATAAACCAAAGTATTTGAAGCAACTGGTTAAGTTTAGTTTTTAAAAAAGATAACTGATGCTTTTCAAATGCCTGAAAGATCTCATGTAAAAGATATATATCAAGACCCGATATTTCAGTCTGGAGGGCAGGACTTGGAATAATAGATTTCAGCTAGACGAAGATAAGATTCCAATTGAATGTTAGAAGAAACTTCCTAATAATAAGAGCAGTTGACAGTGGAATCAAATGCTCAGATAAGTCATGGTCTTCCCTTCATTGTAAGTGTTCCAATGGAAGCTAGATAGCCATCTTTCAGTAATACTTTAATTTGGATTCTGGCACTGAACAGATTGTTGGATTTCAAGACATGAATGGCCTCAATTCTGCAATCCTGTAGTCTCCATGTTTAAAGGAATGCCAGTCCCCTCCCTTGAAACTTACACAAAGGCTATGCTTTATCTCCTTTAAAAGAAAAAAAAGCCTAAACTTTGTCCAGTAAAATAAGGTAGAAAGACTCCCAGGATTATTTTAATATGAAATTTACAATTAGCCTGTCCAAATATTTGTTACAATTTTTGTGCCATCTATTTTTAACTAGAAATGTTAGCAACATTATTCACGTTTTCAAATAACAATGTTCAAAGGTGGTTTATCTCAGTTTAGGTTTCTTTGGGCAAAGCTGTTGCCTTATGAATCCTCCTTAGGGTCCTTTGCATGTCTTTTGTATCTTCCTTATGACCCTTTGATTTTTTTTTATTAACAGTCAACTAAGGAATTAGTCTTCATGTAACATCCAGACTAATTAGTTTAAGAAATAGAACTGGACTAATTACATCTGAAAGAGGCAGTTCGGTGTAGTGGTTAAAGTACCAGACTAGAAACCAGAACACTGAATTTGAGTCCCACCTTAGGCACCCAAGGCTACCCATTCTCTCCCCAACCTAGTAAAGAGGGTGAGATCAAACCACTTCTGAAGCTCTTGACAGGAAAACTGCATGGAGTAATGCTGATATGAAGGCGTGGACAGGCAAAAGGTTACATTTGATCTAGCAGGGCCTTTTAAAAAAGCACTGGAACAAAGATTTGGGAACTTGAGTCCATCTATCAATTAGATTTAGCATCTCTGACAAAGGTATATTTTGTCAGGCACAAGCAATCTGAGCCTCACATGGACAGGCCTAAATAGATATTTTATTGTTGATTGCCTATCGTACAAGAATCCCACCAGACTAACTGCCTTCTCTTGGGAAATGGAGACCTAAGAATATGATCTCAGACATTTCCTTCCGCACATGGACTCTAAGCTGGAATGTGTCTTTACTCTCTGAGGTGGATAGCTCTCCCCTTCAACTGGTATTCCACCAGAACCTCAACATATAGCAATAGCACTTCGACTTATCTACTGCTTCATAGTGCTTTTTACAGCCCTCTCTAAGCAGTTTACAGAATCAGCATCTTGTCACCAAAATCTAGGTCCTCATTGTACCCACCTTGGAAGGATGGAAGGCTGAGTCAATATTGAGCCAGTTAGATTTGAACTGCCGAACTATAGCTAGCAGCCAGCTGAAGTAGCCTGCAGTACTGCACTCTAACCACTGTGCCACCTTGGCTCTTCATTCATATTCAGTGAAGAGGACTACCACTTGCCTAACTTATTCATTTAGTCTTCTCTCAAAGCATCTGCACTACTCGTATTTGTTATTTTTTTTTCTTAATGTTAAAAAAGAATTTGCCTTGATGCAAAATAAGCCCATAATTCAGTATCTTGCCCTGGAGAGCAACAGGAAACATGTGTTAACATTCTCTGCAAAATATTTTCCTGGATTGGTTTAACATGTAGCATAATATTTTGCATTGCAAACGATACCTGCGCATTGTGTTGACATTTACTTCCTGCTCTAGACTGCATATGCAAAGTAGATCAATCCAACGCAAATTATAATTCTGTTGATATTTAAAAGCGAAATTCAGCAGGCAGAGCTAGAGTACAGACTGCAACCCTGAGAACTATGCACTACGGTAAAAGCTAACTTCTGAGAAAGAGGTTAATACCCTTTCCGAGCTATTATTTAAAGTTCAGCACTGATCTATTTTTAGACAGTAGTGTGAGAAGAGGTTGGCTGAAAATAGATACGGATCATGTCTCCTTGTAGAATATAGAACATTGAGACACTTCATTTTCAGAGAACATAATTGGTATTTAGGATATAACCACTGTGCTCTCAAACCTTTCCAAAAAAAAGAGATTTCTACAAAAGACAAACATTTTGTGTGGGCCCTTACAATACATCAGCATATCAATGAGGTGTAATTTTGAAATGTAGTTTTTTCTAAACAAGTTTGAGAGCCATTGAATTGAAGTTTTCCCCTTAAATCCCTTACTGCTGTGCAATTTTAACAGATTGATTTAACAAGTGTATATGCAGTATATTTCAGCTATCTTACTTTCAATCTCAGAACTTAAACACCGTGCTATTCTGAGAATTGAAATTCATGATATCCACAGCACAAGCTGGATAAGTTAGTCTAATGCCTCTAAGTAGGCACATTGTCTGTTAACCACTGGGCTATTGTTGTTTTTTAAGAGTCTATTTGGGTAGAACATCTGTCTGTTTGACCATGAACTGCTAAGTCCACACAATCTTCAGATAGTATCAGTGCTTTGATTTGGATAGAACATCTGTCTGTTTGACCATGAACTGCTAAGTCCACACAATCTTCAGATAGTATCAGTGCTTTGGACAACAACTTCCTCAGGTTCTCCATAAACCTCCCTACCAAGTCCAATGTTTGCTCAGTTCTTCTTCATATTATTATCTGAGCCACACATTTGAAGGGATAATTCCCAGTATGCTGCTCTCAGCAATTGCTTAACGGCTTTCAAATCAAGAAGACTGAAATATATTAATTGCAGGAGTGATTGAGACATTTCTTTAAAATTCAGACCATTTTTGGCTATGTCTCTGGAGTCTATTTCTCATAGAGATCATTTTTGAATCATCTTTTTTAAAATAAAAACAAATAATTAAAGAAGAAAAGGGATTCTCCATGAAATATATGTCAAATTGCTAGCATGTAAATTAGCCAGATTTGTTTATGCTTCATCTGAATATTTTTTGAAGCCTCTTGATATTATATGTGTCCCCTTCCCACCAGAATATGTAGCTCTGGGGGGGATGCTTTAAGAACAGTGGTAAGTACAGGCAGAGATGGGTTGCTGCCAGTTCGGCCCGGATCAGCCAAACTGGTAATAGCAGTGGCGGGAGGCTCCGCCCACCTGCCCAGACACTTCTGTGCATGCGCAGAAGCATTGCACGTGCGTGGGAGTGCACCTGAATTGGTAGTAAAAAAATTAGCAACCCACCTCTGAGTACAGGTCTTGTGAAAATTTCCTGATCTTGGAGCTGTTACTGTGGTAAAAATTTGGCACATGACAAGTATATTTAAGTACTATTTCTTTTACTTCGGTTTAGAATTAGTATTTCAATAAATATTCCCATTAAATAAATAACATTGATCTATAACTTAAATACATATTGCTTGTTACCAAATAAAAATACTAAGAGTTTCTAAGGCAATTGTCTTCTCCATTTTCCCCAAGGTCATCCACATCCAGGAGTAGGGTAATATTTCATTTCTATCTTCCCTAGATTCTACCAAGGAGCCTTTGTCAGACCAAATCTCTTTTTTCCATTTTAGGAGATTGTCAACTTTAACTGTCGTAAACTTGTTGCCACCATGCCTCTGTTCGCCAATGCTGACCCGAATTTTGTAACAGCCATGCTAAGCAAGTTGCGCTTTGAAGTGTTTCAACCTGGAGATTACATTATCCGAGAAGGAGCTGTGGGGAAGAAGATGTATTTCATTCAACATGGGGTCGCTGGTGTTATCACTAAATCCAGTAAAGAGATGAAGTTGACTGATGGCTCCTACTTTGGAGGTGAGTATAATGGAAGTTTTGGGTTGGTAAAGATGCAGAGACTGAATGTAGGTTTATTGAATATGAATAGCTTTATAAAGACTATGAAGATACTATGAGATGTCTATTTGGCATTACTTCTTTTTCTTTTACTACAGAACCCAGTGATAACAGCATACAGTAATTTAAAAAATTATCCTAAGCAGTTTTTCTGGGAGTCTTTGTTATACTGATTTGATGACTAGGAATATGTCATAATCTGTCACACAGCTCCCATTCATGTCCATGTTGTCTTGACTCCTATTCAGTTGCTTTCCTAGAACCAGTAATCTAAGCATGTATATTCTTTGATTTCCCATCAGTTGAAAACTCATAGCTGAACATATAACTAATGCCATTAAAAAGCATATGGATGCAGACCTATATGTGTATACAATATTTTTTTAACTGACATGGTTGTCCCAAAGATGCTTCTTCAAGAGGCAATTGGACTTTCTGTTTTTTTCTTTGAAAACATTTTGCTTCTTATCCAGGAAGCTTCTTCAGGTCTGGCTGGATGGTGGAGAATGGAAGGACTTATACTCCTTGCAGACAGCTGGTCATTTGCATTCATTAAGGCCACTTGGAGGTTTATCTGTGTCCTATCAGGTGGCGTTAATGACTTGCTTAGAGAATGCAAATGACCAGCTGTCTGCAAGGAGTATAAATCCTTCCATTATCCACTATTCAGCCAGATCTGAAGAAGCTTCTTGGATGAGAAGCAAAACATCTTCAAAGAAAAACCAGAAAGTCCAGTAGCTTCTTAAAAAGAAACTTTGGGACAACCATGACTGGGTGACTGAGAATCTCCATATAAAATGGCATGGTTATCTCTGTTGTATTCAGCCTGTAATGGCTACATATTTCTTCATGGTTTTCAACATTATCTCATGCACTGCAGAGGAATCTGTACTTCCACAGCCATATTTCCTTTATATCCAACTGCCTAATTTAACCCTGGATATGATACAAGAGTGAGCACACTTCTCCTCCAACTAAAAAGAAATTTATCAGCAATTCACAGAATCTTTCAAAGTGGATGACGCAATATTTTTGCTTGTCAAACAGAATTCAAGTGAGTCATTTCACTAACAATTGCTTCAGTTAGTGGAACAAGAAACTGCAATTCCATTTCTCCTGTAGATGTTCAATATCTCTGAGAAGTTATAGGCCCTTCAGGATTAGAGTAGATTACAGTAATGGCCACTTGTACAAGGAAAATGGTGATAAAAACACCATGGAAGCACATATTGATCCCTCTCATGCTTATACTTTATCAGAGCCATTTACTTCCTGCTAGTTTGAATTCCTGATATTTGTATTTGAAGGTATCCTCTTGTGTTTATTTACTAAAAGATATGTAATTTTAAACACATTAATTTGGGACTCTGTAATATAGATATTTTTATAGGCAAACAAGCAATCGGTTCTATTTTCACAAACACAGAATACAGCCTGCTTCGAATACAGCCTGCAATTCTTCTATGACATTTCCTGCTGTTTCATTTACAGGTATAAGGAAATGCAGTCACCTGACCATTTTTTACAGCAGAAAACATCCTTGAAGGATGGAGGTTTAAAAAGGGAAATAGAACTGTTTTTCTATCAGTTCATTATCTCTCACACATACACAGAGACATCTGTGTATTTTTTCCGACCAAGAAAAGAATAGCTGAAGGTGGCATGTATGTTTCATGGATAATTTGAGCAGTCAAATTGATTTGAGAAATGGATCCAGTTTGTTTCAAACATTTTAATCAGTTCAGAAGATTTATTTGACTCAGTCCAAACTTCCAAATCAATTTACTCAAGTAAATAAAATCAAGTTAGACCTGATTCAATCTGCAGTACTTTGGGCTATTAAAATGTAAGTAAACAAGCATAATAACATATGAAATCAGTCTGATTTCATATGTTACCTTAGGCAACAAGTCATTAGAAGTAATGATCAACAATATTAATCACAACCACAATTCATTTGATAAGGTGCTTACTCAAAAAAGTAAAGAAAATAAAAAGCAGTAAAGTGACAGTATGTTATTAACGTTTCACAAGGATTTTTCTAATATTTTAAAATAACAAATGTTACACATGGACGTTTAGATGATTGAGTGGTTTTTACTCTTAAGTTGGTAGAAGGAAAGTGATTAAACACTTTGACAACTCAGTAACCAGGGGATTTGGTTTTAATCTCTTTCCTTTTGTCAAAACTGCCTGGAACCAGCCACAGATCCACCAGAATATTCTACTCTCCATTCCCAATCTCTACAATCAGGCAATAAAGAATAGCGTGATTGTTGGTATAGAAAGCCCTCAAGAAATCAAGGGGAACAAGGATACTCACAGTACTCCAAACCCAGGTCTCCTAGAAGTCATCAGTTGCAATCAATGTAATCTCCATTCAAAAATGGAACATGAAATCTGACTGAAAAAACATCCAAGTATGGTGCTTCCTGTAGAAGCTACAACCTAGCTTCATTAACTTTCTACAAAAATTTAATGATGAAGAGTAGACAATTTTTATCCAGAACTGTAATAAAAACATGTGATATGTATCCAATGGTCAAGCAGTTCTTCAATATTTTTATAGGCTTATTAGTTTGTAATTTAGAATACTCATTTAGAATTTGTACTGAATTACCTGCCATTTATTATTAGAAACATAATTAAAGAGAAATCAAGTCCAGCTAGCTATCTTACTTTAAAAAATATATGAGATTAAGCTTTTAAAGCAATGAAAAGTTAAACATTTAAATGGAGGCAAAAGGGGTACACTTAGAACAGTGTTTCTCAACCTTGGTGACTTTAAGTCCTGTGGACTTCAACTCCCAGAATCCCCCAGCCAGCATAGCTGAAGTCCACAGGACTTAAAGTCACCAAGATTGAGAAACACTGACTTAGAATGTTGATACTTGCTCCTAAAATTATTTCAACTTCCATTTCCCATTCAAAGTGGAGAAATGAAATTTTATTACTTTGGAGGCTTGATGCCAGTTATCAGTAGATCAGGGAAATGCAAATCTGCCAAGGCTCAGAAGCTTTGGCAGATCATTGCCTTGAAATGACTTCATGTTTCTTCGCTGAACATTTATTTTCCATTTTTAATCAAATATTGATGTGACATTGCATGATAACTAATTATATCGTGAGGTGTAGTTTTATGTGGACAATTATCTGGCAACAATTGGATCAGGGTTGCATTGCCAGCTAGGCATTGTGTTGCTCCAAGAGTGAACATTTTTTTTATTTCAGCTTAGAAAAGCAACAGGAATTGGGAATGAAGGAGGAATTCTCATTCCTGGATCAGATTAGTATGTGAAATTTTACTCCACTTTATGGAGCAAATTCAATTAAGTATGCTTACATAGAGTGGAACCAATCTCAAAACAGTTTTAGGGAGATATAATGTGTAATTATTTATCAGGTAAGACTTCTGGTGCCAAGGACAACTTATCATCTTATTACCTTATATTGGGGAAGCACAATAAGCAGCAAATATGCTACGACTTGTGATTTTTATCTGTCAAAAAGGGAAATTATTAAGTGCATGGGAAATAATCATATCAAAGATGTATTCAACTTAAAGATGAATAAATAGTTAAATTATAACAAATTTAAGATTTGTTTAGAATCTGACCCTGATATTTCCAATCTCATCTGAAAATGATATAGGCACCTTAGAATGTAAAGCAATTTTTAGTGTAATGGCCCCTTACATTATCCTTCCACCAGTGGTGGGATTCAATTTTTTTTACTACCAGTTCTGTGGGCCTGGCTTTATGAGTGTGGCATAGTTTGGTGGGCATGGCAGGGGAAGGATACTGTAAAATCTCCATTCCCTGCAGGGGAAGGTTACTGAAAAATCCCCATTCCCTCCTGATCAGCTGGGACTCGGGAGGGAGAAAATAGATAGGGGCAGGGCCAGTTACATAAAATCATACAATTCTGTGAAGTGTTCTAGAATTTGATTTTTTCTGGGTGTTGAATTATTTACTTGGACAGAGCTTGTATGTTTCCTGGGTTCTCACTTCAGAAAATTTTCATTTGTGAATTATAGAAAACTGCAGATATGTAAGTCTTCTTATTGAATCTTCTCACACATGAATAGTTTAATGACTGCACATGATTATTTGCTTTCCAAATGCTACATCTCATAATTTCCATCTATTTTAAGAGAGGCACCAATCAAGTCTGTTCCGTTTAACTTTATCTCCTAAGTCTATTTTGTGAAGCTTGGCTTACAGTGTTTTAGTATTTCTGGAGTGACTTTAGATTGGTGGCTCTCATTACAACGATAATTAGTCTTCCTTTAAAAAATCATAAAGGGAATAATTTTTCAGAAAGACCAAGTAATTATGGAAATCTCTAGAGATGAATGCTATTGATGCATAATTATAAACAGAATGTAGCTATAACTTTTTATCTTTTAGTTGAGTTTCAAGGGGAAAAAAGAAGTTACACAGTAAAATCATGCCAATGTCCATCCCCTTGTTATTGGCTTTTATGTCTGGTTATTGAAGGTCCTAAAAATAGGCTTCTATAAAGGCTGACCCTTTTAAAGGGATCACAGAGCTATATTCTACTGTAAGAATTAAAAAAAACTTGAGAGACTCTAAGCTTTATAATAAGAGAGCGATACAATTTCTGAATTTTGGTAATCCAGTTTCCAGAACATGTCTATAATCTTTCCACTTACTAGTAATATGCTTTATCATTTTACTTTCTTACAAATAAAGGTTTGATGAAAAAAACCTGTTGGGTATTAGCTAGGCACATTTCTTTAAAAGTGCCTGAAATTTCTTCTCTCTCAAAGATGGAACAATTCTTTTATTCTTATGGCACAAGAATATCCCTGAGCTCTTGCTCTGGAATACATTATCTGGAACCTTAAAAAATGTTGAAGAGGTTTGCTCATTTCCTTCTATCATCCAAGTTTTAATTCCAACACTCCCAGGAATCCTGGACTGACACTGAGTAGACTGGCAAATAATTTTTTTTAAACTTGAATTTGTTCTGACTTATTTCCTCTGTCTTCCTTCCTGTATGTCCTTTTTACCTCTTGCAGAGATCTGCCTTTTGACTAAGGGCCGTCGCACTGCTAGCGTGAGAGCAGACACATATTGCCGCCTATATTCTCTCTCTGTGGACAACTTCAATGAAGTTTTGGAAGAATATCCAATGATGAGGCGAGCGTTTGAAACAGTGGCCATTGATAGATTAGACAGGATAGGTAAGTATTCAATTTTCATGAAGCTATTTTTTCTCTTTAAGGTCAAGAAACTTAATAGGCCTTAGTTTTCCATTTTGATTTGTTTGAATGATTGGGTATAAATAACTATATTTGAGATGATGATGATTATCATCATCATAACCATCACTATCACCATCATCATAATGTTGTTGTGTTCTTTTGGACATCATGTCTATGTAGATTAAGGTAGGGGAGAAAAAGGTAAGGATGCCCATTAATGAAACTCAACTCCTGATGACTATATGAGGACATTCATACAATTTTCTTGACCATAGAAGAGAAGAGATTTCCCATTGTTGTCTTGGCACTTTTTGATATCTCAGTCTAAGTTATGGTTCTAGAACTCTTAGTGGTCTTTTATCCAAGTATTACTCAGGGCCAATCCACATAAGGAAATATGTATATTTATCTCTCTTATGAGGAAGCATATATACAAATTCCTGTTCCAATATCTAATAAAGTTAAACTTTCCTATGTCCATGCAAAATGGAATCCCAACAAAACAGGCAGGATCTAGTACATAGTTTCAAATCTTCATTTCACGATCCCTTATCAAACCAGTTGACCAAGTTTACATAAATGTATCCTTTCTAAATATTTCCAGCTCTGTACTATTATAGAGCAATAGTCCTTATTTAATTATTTCAAGGTTAGGGATTGCCACTAATTCATATAAGTATATGAAATTATGTTCAATTGTTATGCTTGTGGCTTTGCAGAAAATATTAATTACAAGAAACAATTCAGTTATTATTGAAGTGGAACATTTATTTTTGGGCAGTGGATTAAATATATAACACAGTCCTGTAACACTTAATACTAGCAAAATTATAGTTAGGTGTTACATAATATGTTCTATTTTCATGTTATTCATATACATTTAGGAAGATTTCTCCTCTCAATCTGTTGGTCATTCATTACCAGTGTTGAATAGCTGCTTTCAAGAAACATGTTGAATGGGCACATGCATTCATAACCTACTTAACCTGTTTATCATTTGAGAAATTAGGATAGCTTGACAAAAAAAGTCTATAAAATCTAGTTATTCCATTTATATACCTTTTGGTAACATGCCATTATTGGCTTGTAGAGTATATTGGATGCTAACTAACAAACAGGCAAGCATGCACATCCAATTATGTGAATAGGCGGCAATGTAAATTTTCTAAATAAATAAAGTACAAATGTAAAATTTCCAAGTATTTCTTCACATTGGTCTTTATTAATTAATTATGAAAGAGTCTTCTTAAAGTTCATTGGGTTCAACCAAATTATCCCAGAGGGTATATGCAATATTTTTCTGCATATTGCGCACAAATCAACATTGTCCACATACAAAAAATGTGTATGTAGCTCTTATGACTTAGAGCAAGGCCATTCAGTGATACAATTAAAATATTCTTATGGATATGATGTTTTCCCCCCAACTATGACTTCTTCCTCTTAAAACGTCCATGCAGTATTAAACGTTAATACATTTAAGTAAAAACTTTTTTTTAAAAATGAATTAATTGAAGCTAAAGAAAAGACAAAGGGATTGACAAATTTTGCTTCTAGTCTTGATAACTAAATAAAAACTCTTTTGTCACTGAACACTGTTAGATCCATAAGTAGAACAGCCTACATGGCTAGATGCTATGCTTTGTTGAGTTACATTGGTGGCCAGTGTGGGAAACAAGATCCTGGGTGAACCTTTTTCAAGCCAGGAGGACTTTTCAGTATGTGTTCTTGAAAATGAACTTTATATGGAGAATAGAGCCAGAACTTAATTATTGCTTCTCTTTTGTTCTTATAACCATTACGAATGATCATTACCATGATGCAAAGATGCATTTTAGAGATAGAGAAGCAGAAATGTATTCCTATGCTGAATAGCTGCTAACTTGCATGGTGTGTTATGTCAATCTCACTCTTTCCCTAAAGGAAAGAAGAATTCAATTCTACTCCAGAAATTCCAAAAAGACCTCAATACTGGTGTTTTCAACAATCAGGAGAGTGAAATTTTGAAACAGATCGTGAAGTATGACCGAGAGATGGTACAGACTGTTGGGACAGCAAATTATTCGCAGACACCCGCTTTGAATTCAAGCCCTTCAGCTACCACTTCATCAATGCAAATGAGGACACAGACAACACCTGTCTATGCTGTGACCAATCTCTCCCATGGGAGCTTGAATTCATCAACACCGAGCACACAGACACCTCAACAGGGTGTAGTTTTCTCACCATGCTCCTACCCTTCTGCGGTCTGTAGTCCTTCAGTACAGAGTCCTTTAGCTGGCCGAACTTTTCAGTATGCAACTCCTACTGCTTCACAGTTGTCACTGCTACAGCAGCAGCAGCAGCTGCAACCACCACAGCAGCTGCAACAACCACAGCAGCTACAGCAAATGCCCAGTGGGTCACAGAAGAGCGACATCCATAAGAGTACACAAACTCTTCACAATACTAGCCTGACAAGAGAAGTACGGCCCCTGTCAGCCTCACAGCCTTCTTTGCCCCATGAGGTCTCTACTATAATTACAAGACCACATCCAACAGTAGGAGAATCTTTAGCTTCCATTCCACAGCCAGTGTCTGCTCTTCAAAGCACAGGAATCCAGGGTGGCAGTAAAGGCACAGTCCCCCAGAGAGTGTCCCTCTTCCGACAGATGTCTTCAGGAGCAATTCCACCAACACGAGGACCGATGCCATCTACAGCTGGACCACAAAAAGATACTTCCACAGTCTTAAACCCTGAACTAGAGGGAGATAAACCACGGTTTGCTTCAAATCTATGATTCATGTGGCCTGAATAAAGCAGAAGCATTGAAACAGACTGAAGTTATTCGAGGACACTTGTTAGAACTTAATTTTGCATAGTTCCCAGCGGTCTACAAAAGAAAAAGAAAATTGTAGACAAACTTAACCCACAAAATTGAATGTACAATGTAAAGACAGATAGTCAGAAGGGAAAAAAAGAGAGAGAAATCCAAATGGCGTCTCTTGTCTTTGTTTCTTATAAACAATTCAGTCTAAAAACAGTTGTAATATTTATTTTTAACTTAGTTAAAAATATAAAGTTTCCCGATTTGAATCTATATTTTTTAAGAAATGACAGTATTATGAATTCCAGGAACTAAGCCAGAAAATAAGAACAGCTTTCTCAGAATACATGCTAGCTTGGAATAGCGCCTCTAAAACAGTGATTTTTAACCTTTCTTAGTCAACTATAATTGAGTTGTAATTCCTATTTTAGACGTACAGATTATTTTTTTGGTGCTTTTACGTTAAGGCTTAGATTGAAGGGTCAATGAAATTTTTACTGTCTACAAAAAGTAGTAAGAACAGTAAATAGTGAAGACTCACTCATCTTGTTGTAAATAACTTTTTAGACCCAAGTAATAATAACAAAAAAAATAGCTCCTGTGTGTTGTATCATTGCAAAGTATTTGTTTAGAAATTTAGTTTCAGCTACTCATGCCAAAATGTAAACATTTAAACATTTTTACAAGATATAAAATACAATATAATTGTAATGCAATGGCTTGCATTCTAAAATGCTACTTTTACATGCAGTGTTTTTATGCAGATTTGTATGTTTGATCCTGCTATGTGTATTTCAGCAATGCTATTATATTTTTCTTCTTTGTCCTGGACAATGTAAGAAATATTCCATGCATGTTCTGACATAATAGATGGGGAAAGAGAGGGACAGAAAAATAACCAAGAGATGAACCAGAAATATCCTGTGCCCTCAAAGCAACTAAAAGATTCAGTTAGCAATATTAGAAGAAGTGGAGAAAAGGAATATTGATAAATGTGAATGTACGGTTTTTACAATTCATTTCCTTTTATGCTGATTTTGAATCTAGAGTTAAAGATTAGAAGTATTTTATTTCAATTGATTGAATGAATTGTTTTAACAATGCTTCAGTTAGTCTTTCATATGTGTACTGTGTCCTCACTGTAACTCTATAGTTGATTGTAGCAATCTTTTTTTTAAAGAAGTATATTATAGCATCCTGTTTGTTAGGAAAGCACACATTCCAGTATATAGTGTAATAATTTGGACAACAACATACTCTATTACACCAGGTAGCATTGAAAATAGAAATGATATTTTTCTTTCTTTTTGACTTCTAATGTCTACACAAAAGAAAGGGAGATCGTAATTGAATGTGGATTTTTTTGTAAATCTTTTCTTTCAATTGCTTTATCATGTCATCTTATGACTTCAGATACCTCCTAAAGGAATATTTTTCAAATGCTTAATGTACTGATTTAGGGCCATTCATTCATGGCCTACCATGTTGCCAGTGCTCTTAGGGGCATGTTGTCATCATGGAACATATCTATATGACATTTTCCCTTAGACATTGGATTGAAATTGTAATTTGGGTTGGGTTTTTTTTTTCTTTTGACACTCCTGTGTCAAAGTTTACTCTTTCCCATAGTCAGAACTAGTAACTGCCAAGGAATTTCAAAGTTAGGTTGAGAGAGACATAAAAGTCAACTGAAGCCAATTTGAAGGCATTAATGGGAACCGCTATTGAAGCAGGAGAATGGTCATGTAGCTATTGGTAATATATAAACCATAGATTATCTCAGACCCTTTCCAGCAATGTACTGATTTTCTCTAATCCACAATGTAGCACTACTTTAATGTGTAATGTCTTCAATAGAGTACCTTTTGAGCCTAACATCTCATGATACAGTAGTTCACTGTTTTTTAAGGCACTTCTTCCCTACTTTGGATTTTGTCCTGCAGCTGAAACCCAGAACAAACTGCTGCCTGTTAACGTTTTTCCCTCAAATGTTATTGTAAAAGACTATGTGAATTAGGCATGATTATTAGTGAAAAGTACATATTATTTTAATGAATTCCACTTCCCAACCCCAAATTAAGTAAATGTGGTCATTTATTCCATGAATATGATGCTGCCGACAGTTAAAATAGAATGGTGATGAATCCCATGTAAGGGATATAATATTTAAAGTATTCTAGGTAAACAGCAAATCCATTTATTTTTAGTACACCAAATCCCTGACTATATATTAATACTGATGACAAATTTTATCCAAACAATGATGATCTTATCCTGGTCTTTAAACTGTTCACAGTTTACATTTGATAGGAGTATAATGGAGTTGGTAGTGAACTATTTTTATACATAAGTTTATTTTATTTTACGTACTATACAAAAACGTAACATACATGATCTTTCAGTAATACCATAAAAAAATCTTTTAATGACTTTCTATTAGAATGGGCAAAATCAAAGATTTGTAAGTTAATTAAAATGTTACAGGGTATAAAACTGAAATTATGTATATAAGAATGTGTGTGTGTATTTATACATATATAAATATATATACATATACGTATACGTATACATATATGTATACAAAACAATCCACTCATTTCTGTAATATAAAGACTATGCATTGCTATTTTGAGAATTGACCTATTTTTCTCTGAATATAAATAAGCCCTGAAATATGGAACCTTACATCTGTATAGGTTGAAATGTATTTACAATAATGTTGGATTATGTTGCTGCTGAAAAAAACAACAATACATCAAACTGATTCTTACAATAATTGCACAATCAGGGATAAGTTAAACTTTTTTTCTTTTGTCTTTGCTCAAAGCCATAAATATATATATAAATAAATATATATATGGTTATTAGTAAATTTAACAAAAATATAAAACAATAAAATGTGAATATTTTATTTCATTTGTAATGTTTTTATCCCAATGTAGCATATTATTTTCATGTGAACCTGGATATTTTCTGATCCAAATACCATGTGACTGAATGTTCTGCCTTGATCCATCCTTTCCTCTTGGAAGTACATGATAGTTGATGATCTTAATCGGATAAACCGAGGTTCATTTCTTGAATTTCATCCAAGAAATAGATTGGTAGTTTTGATTAAAATGTAACTCATGCTTGTATGCATAAGTGACAAAATGCTTGTCTCATCTCCATATGCAAGAAAGATGAAAAAAACACAAGGTGTGGTAGCACATTAACATTTAATAATTATCTATTCAGATAAGTTTCATTAAAAAGAGGGTACTGTTATGAGAGACTAACAAGGTGGAAATCAGAGGATTTAGCATTTCTATTCTGAGACAATGATATCTCTGAGCAAAGAAAGTCTTAAGTATTGAAAAATATACCGTAAGCTTCGACTTGCAAAATAAGTATTCAATCAATTTGTTGCAACTTGTTTGTTTTGAGAAGAACAAACAATAACTTTGTGAGATAGATATTCTGGTCCTTCTTACCAACCTTCCAGTTTTTATTGAAACCATCTACTGTGTGTCAATAGATTTCCAGTATTTTTATGCTGTGTAGAAGTGTCCTTCCACAGTTTCTCAATGGAATATTTAGAAATTTAGGTTACTTTATTTTATTATGTGGTTAAGCCAGAATTAAGCACACCTCCTTAATCCATGAATAATATGCTACAGATTTGGCTCTCCAGGTTTCTTGAAATAACTGATTTATGACATTGTGACAGCGCATTTGAAATGTGGATAGTGACTCAACTGGTATTAGAAAAAAAGTAATTCTTTTAGATACTAAGTTAGAAGCTAGTTCAACACAATAATGATCCTTTTTTAAATTCAGAAGTAGGAAGCTAGTTCAACCCAATTTTGACTGGCCTTAAAAATGTGCTTCCTAATACATAAATTCAAATGGGGCAGAATTGTCATGATGATATTTTGTCTGCCATCTTCTTAATTTTGATAGAAGCCAACTACACAACCCACAGGGACCACTATTAGAACAGTGTAGTTTAAGTTATATATAAAGATCAAAAAACTTGAGCTAGTTGATGGAATGTCTATAGAGAGTCTCAGTTATCCAGGATTAAATGCTTACTAAAGAAAAAAAATATAGTGTAATACATACCCGTATTTTTCGGAGTATAAGAAGCGCCTTTTTCCCTCAAAAAAAGAGGCTGAAAATCTGGGTGTGTCTTATACACTGAATACAGCATTTTTGCCTCCTGAAACCCCACCCCTTTTGCAAAAATGGCAGTGCTTAGCTTGTAGGAAGCTTTTAGAGGGCTCCTGGGGGCTGGGGAGGGCAGAAATGAGCCCAGTTTTACCCCCCAAACCCCCAGGAGCACTCTATAAGCTTTCTAAAGGCTATCCGTTCCCTTTTTTAAAATGAAAAATGGGACTGTTTTTGTGAAAAATGGGCCATTTTTTATCATTTTGACCCCCTGCCCCCCAGGAGCACTCTGCAAGCCCCCTAAAGGCTATTCATGCCTTTTGGGGGGGGGGCAGGCTACTAATGAATGTTGTGGAATTAATGCAAATGTGGGCACCTCATTTAAAGAAATACATAGAATAATAGAGTTGAAAGAGATCCTAGGGGACTTCTAGTCAAGGTAAAATAGGAGACCCTATACCATTTCAGATAAATGTTTGTCCAGTCTCTTTTTGAAAGCCTTTTATTTTTATAAAATAAAGTCTATTTTATGGTTGAGACAAAATAAATAAAAGAGAGATTCAAGGAATAAGAATATCAAGAAAATGTGATAAATTTATAAAACTAAAATTAATGTATGCTTTTGTATACAGTAATGTATACTGTATACTAGTGGTAGAATCATGCATGCTTTGGAAAGGTACAAAGTTATGGAGAAGTATATCGAATGGTATTGCTGTCCAGTATTTTTTATGACATTAATTTCATATGCTTTCTATTTCCTTTTCTGCACTGATACAGCATGCATTTATTCTGAGAGGGAAACAGACTGATGGGAACTTATGCATGTAGGTAAGGTTATCACTTTACAGAGGAATTATTTGAGGAACATCTTCAAGGGATTAAAAAAAATCAAGAGGGTCGCCATGACCATGTCATCAAAGTCCCACCTCTTTGTTATGTGCACCCACAAAACCTACATTAAAAAGGATAAGGCTTTGATTCTTGTGTTAAAACAAGTGAAGTGGAAAATATAGGGAATAACAGCTTCTCCATATGCCCAAACATTAATACCTGGTAGGGAAAAGGCACAGGTTTAACCCAAGTATATGTTTCAAATAGCTTTTTAAAATTACTTTTGAATACGTCTCCTTGTACTGCAAGCTACGTGCGGGAAATGAACCAAGGATTGTGTGAAGTTTCCAAAAGATGACCTAATTAATTTAAAAGCCTCAAACCAAAAGATATCCAGTCATTTATTAGGATCAACATTTTGGCATGTTCTTCTGTGGAGCCAAAACTGATTTCCGGTCAATGGTCTCCACTCTTTACCCCTGTGTCTCTCCTCCCCTCAGTCTGTGTTATAAATCATATCCACCAACGAGGTGCTGCAGCAGGCTGTGAACTTTTCACCCCACACACCGGCTGTAGAAATATGAGCTCCGACTCTGGTTGAAGGTATGCATGGAATTCTCCCTCCCGTTTTCATGCCAACTTGAAAATAGTCATGACAACATTTTACAAGTTGACAGATTGGTTATTGTATGTGTCTAAGGACGTACTGAAAAAGTATATAAAATATTTAGGGAAAAAATGTAAAATATTCATGGGAATTGTATGCTTACATATTTGAATATCCTTTTGATGAATTTCAAAGCCTTCATCGCGCGAAAAGGGAAAAAGAGTAGGCAAAATGTATTTATCCTTGACAATGTTCCTCTCATGCCTAAACATGAGGTCCTTTCCAATGTTTTTCACAGCTTTTTAGAAAGCAAAGATTTGCTTCACAGAAAAGGAGGAAGCAAATGAAACTATGATCCATCAGATGTTTCAGTAGCTGAAAACAAGAAGAAAAGTTATTGATTCTCTCCTCTCAATTCAGATCCCTCCGCAATGGCTGTAGGCCAGCGACTCAGCAACTTTAAAATATGTGGACTCCCAACTCCCAGAATTCCCCATTAAGTATTACCATAATTAAAAATAAATAAATAAATAAAAACAATGCCAGAACTAAATTATACAATAGTTTAATAAGTCTCATTGAACTTTTGCCTTTGATGCTCTAAGGCCGCTCAGCAATAAAAAACTGCAATGCTGCAAATATATTTTAGTACTTAAAATAAGACACATTTGGGACTCCACAACCTGGATGATCTATGTATCATATAAATGGTGATTCAAAAAGCCACACTTGCAAAGCTAGAAACAGAAATAGCCCATGATCTCTGGGGATCAAAGAACTCCCAAAATAGGTAAGTAAGGGGAAAAAATAGCCTTTTTTTTCTCTCTTTTTGCTCAGTTGGCATTTATTCTCTGGCTTATGTGAGTTGGCGAACTCATTAAGCTTTTAGCAGCATTTTTGGAAATCAGATGATCTTTTGTTACAAAACAGAAGGTAGAACACAGCACACCACAATTCATCAAAATGTACTTCCATTTTCATTTCCTAATTCATGCCACGTAAATTTCACAAAGGTTTCCTCTATTGTGATAAGGAGAAAATGTCTAACTTTTAAAAGAAATGTATAGGTCAATTATCGATGAAATGTAATTATTAGATTAATTATTATACATACAATATTTTTGTGTAATTTTTTCAGAGGAGGTTAGTTCTTCAATTCATAATTTGAAATGCATTAATACCAAACCTAATTCATTTGAAATATTTTTTTAAATGCCCCTATGACACAAACCACGTTGCTTCAAATGGTGAGTTTGCTTTGCACTCTAAACTTAACCAGGTCAATTAACGTATTTGTACAGTATGTTAAGCTTGCTTATTTTTAAGCTTGATACATTTATTTATTTATTTATTTATTTATTTTATTTTATTTTATTTTATTTTACTTATTTATTTATTTATTTATTTATTTATTTATTTATTTATTTATTTATTTATTTATTTATTTATTTATTTATTTATTTATGGCAATGTGTGTCGCGTAAAGCCAGCCTACTGAGATTGTAAATTTATAATTAAATAGGTTGTGTAAATCCAGAAAGCAATTGCAGCTATGAAAAGTTTTGAAAAAAATGTTGTTCTCCATTTTGGTCAGACACATTTTCATTTATGTCTGTTATAATAAACTTTTTTTTATTTCCATCATGTACAAACTAGACTAATCTCTTAAGAAAGCAATATGTATCACCATGAAGACGGTATCACAATCCACCTATATAAATATAAAACAAGCAAAATTTGCAAGGGATATTTTCAAATCGGCTACATTTTCCCATTTGCAGAAATTTCCATTTTAGACTTTTGAAACATAACTTCACCCCATCTCCATTTAAACATTTTTAAAATACTGCATTTCATTTATTAGAAGCAAGTTATTTCTAATATTGAAGTAAATGTTCATCTTGGGGAAAAATAGGTTATTCCTATCTTCTAACAGAAAAATTATCTAATTTTCTA